GACCCTGTCACGCGATTTATTTGCCAGGAAGCCAGATATGTTGCGTGGGCGTCAGGTGCAAGCGCACTGCGAGCTCCTTCTGACTGGCTGGCACAGAAACGAAACCCCTCGTGGTGAAAATTTTCATAATTCTCGGGTTTTCTGTTGTAGTCACCCCGAGCATTCATGGCCATCTCTTCCCAGAACGAATCTCTCCTATGAAGTCCAGGCCCGTCATATGTCTTGGATTGACCACGGCAATTCCAACCTGCCATGCCTCAAGATGTAATCAGCCTTTGGGGCTACTGAATTTAGTTTATTCAGTTGTCTTACATACAAATGTGTACACACGTGGAAAAAATAACTAATAATTGGTGTGCTTGGTAGGAGATCATTACATTTTCCATAAAGATGTCATTGGCACAAACACTCAGAGAATGTTAAAACGTATGGCGTACTGAAGGATTCGCTGACTCTTGTGTGCAACAGTTTTCTTTTTTTTATTTACCGTATTGCAATGCACTAATATTATGATTAAAACTTAAGATATTTCACTCAAGTAAGAAATAAATATTCCGTTCTTTAAATGCTTGTCGACAATTTAGACGTTTTCATTTCTAAATATTTCCAGTGAACGATTTTGGGTTTCATTTCTGCAAATGTCTTAGCTGACAGTCCACCGACCAGATCAGACACAAAGAAGTGGGACGATTCAGTCTTTCAATTTACATCGCCGCCAATTCTCCTTGTCAGTTATAAAACTAAACTAGTCGTAAATGTGTTGTTATCTTGTTACGCTCTCTTCTCTCCTGTTGTTAAAATCCCCGCGTTTTAGTCCCCCTTTTAAATTGATAATTACCTCCCCTGGCAGTATCCAAACTGACGTGACCCCCCTCAACAAGTAAACCTCCGTCTACTCGAGTTGGACTAAAATGGTCCCCGGAATAAATAATGAGTTTGGCCCACGACTTTGTTTTATTTTCTATGCATCCCCATCCTTTAGTAGTTGCTCCAACAGTTGGACATATCTCTGTGGTCGCCTTCCTCAGGGTTCACGCACTACAAGGCGTGTGAGACCAGGACAGAAGACCACAGGGCACGGTGCTAAATGAGATGACGTCAACAGCGACCGTCCTATTCCTTGCAGTTGGTCTGTAGATGGAAAGAAACGAATAAGTTTAATTTGAGGTGGGGGGGGGGGGTGTTTTTTTTTTAGGAAAAAAAAAAAGTTATTTTTTTAGAATTTTTAAAGCCCTAAAAACTTTTATCTGGCTTCGTCTTTAACAACAAATCTTTAATTTAAACAATTATTTAGGGTAACAATCGAAGTTAACTTCTTTGAACAATTAGCAACTCTCTGGTGTTTTCTTAAACATAATTTTGTCACCAACGCGCCCACCAGGGTGAGGGTGGAGAATAGATTGATACGCAATTTTGAAACACAGCCATGTAGCAGTCATGTATGCACTCTTTCTTCTGCTCGTTAGTACATCCCATCCTTCTCCATTGGCTACATCTAAGACCGTTTACAACTTGGATTTTCTAGATCCATGACCACGATTTCTAAGTTTTTATCATTTTTGTTTCTTTTCAGACTAAACTAAACACACCATCCCACCCTATGAGCGGAATCATACTAAACACACAATCCCACCCTATGGGCGGAATCATACTAAACACACCATCCCACCCTATAAGCGGAATCATACTAAACACACAATCCCACCCTATGGGCGGAATCATACTAAACACACAATCCCACCCTATAAGCGGAATCATACTAAACACACCATCCCACCCTATAAGCGGAATCATACTAAACACACAATCCCACCCTATGGGCGGAATCATACTAAACACACCATCCCCCCCTATGAGCGGAATCATACTAAACACACCATCCCACCCTATAAGCGGAATCATACTAAACACACCATCCCACCCTATGAGCGGAATCATACTAAACACACCATCCCACCCTATGAGCGGAATCATACTAAACACACCATCCCACCCTATGAGCGGAATCATACTAAACACACCATCCCACCCTATGAGCTAAGTGTAGCTAATTTTTTATAATTTTTTCGCCGACATCGAAGGTGTTGTGTGGTGTCTTCTTGTTTCCTAACCTCAATGACTTATCCACCTGTTACGAGGGCCACACACTCACAGCATCCTGATTGGTCGAAGAGAACCACGCCTTCTTGAAGAATAAAATAATAATTAAATCTTTTTTTTTTTTTTTTATTAATAATTCCAAGAATAATTACTGCTGTTTGAGCCCATACCTTTGAAAAGATTGTAGGCATGGCATGTCACTCCCGGGACGGAGACGGTGTCACACGCTTAGAGTTCAAGGTTGAATTGAGTTCTTTGATCTTTAGTTGAGTCCGAAGCAGCCGAGAATTCGTGTGATTACCATTGATAGTGATATCTTTTTTTTTTTGTGTGTAAATGTTTGTCCTGTAGATTAAACGTTTGACTAGACGCTAACAGAGACAACAGCGTCTCAATAGAGCCTACCGCTCTGAGCGAAATATTGCTACCGTGTGAAGAGCGGTTGCCAAGTGTTCCGTCTAGTGGCGCAGGGAGGCTACCAGTTGACCTTTCAAGCGTGCCATCTGGACAGCAGTGAATACCGCCACTGCTTATCTCAGAAGGCCAGTCGATGTGTCAATACTACCGATACTGCTATACCATAACCATTGAAAGGGGAAGGGCGTTCTCATGCAGTGATAGCTTCCATTTTCTTTTGTATTGACGTCATTTCCTAGTGAACGCGAGACATGTAAAACAGCAAAGTTAAGACGAGCAGACGAAATTAGTTCAATGGTTAGCACAATTTTTGATTTATTCTAATTTTTAGCTAGTCGTGTAAGTGTGATGTTATACTCAGTTATACTGTCAACCAATCAGTGTTTGTTTGGTTTACGGTTAAGCAGCATTTTGAAAGAGAGCAGAATTTTATTTAAATTACGGCACCGCTCCGATAAGGGTAGTTTAAAGATTAATTCAAGCCTTGAGAATAAGTAACATTTTTAATGGATGATCTTTGAGGGTAAAATGTTCTAATACAACATTTCTCCGGCAGTGATCATTGGGAATAACTGAGATTCACTGGGGAAAAAAAAAATAATTATGGTTACGGGACGGATCACATTAGGCGTCTGGCAATTAGGCCATGTGACGTCAGTTTTTATTGAGCGTTTGGCTCTCATTAAGTCGACCTGGCTTCTGCGGGGTTAGATACGTGTTAGCTGGGATGGCCGGCACTAGCCCCAAAACCACTTTGGTATAGGAATGTTAGACGGAGCTTTTCTCGACTGTCTTTAAGGCAGGAGATATCAAATCTTTTTAAGAGGTCAGTGACGAAGCCAGGAGTGGTGGATTCGTAGTCCCTTGGGATGAAGCGTACTGCGTTACGTTGTATTCTCTCCATCTTGACCACGACTTGCTTTAGGTATGGGTCCCATATGATCGCACCATATTCTAGTAGCGGATGGACGAGTGCGAGACAGGCATTGCGTTTGCAGGATGTTGGGCAGTGGCGCAGATTTCTTCGAATGAAACCAAGTGTGGAGATGGGGGCTTTGTTTTTTTTAAATTTTGTTTATATGGGGTGACAATTTTAGATTATTCGAGAAGAGAATTCCAAGGAATGGATTATTTGGGCATCAAATGTACACTGACGTAGCGATTCTTTTAAACATTTGTTGTTTTTTTTTGTTGTTTGTTTTGTTTGTTGTTGTTTTTTTGGGGGGTGGGGAATAATTTCCAATGTTTAGATGGGCGACACCAGTGGTGTAGGGGAGTTGGATGCTACTCAGGGTGGCGTTTTTTTTCTCCCTCAGTTATGGAGGGGAGGCATTTTCTTCGGGCCAACCTCGGAGTTTTTATAGTGGCATTGAAAGGGGTCTGACAAAATCTTGGCCCGCCCAGAGCGGCACTAACCCTAACAACATACATTAGACAGTGTGTATCTGTCATCGCCCAGATCAGTCATAATGGCGACCACACCCAGCTCAAACGCCACACTCCCTCCCCAATCGCCTAATATAAACTATATTCATTCCAGCGGTGGCGCCCCTGAGAGAATGATTTTAGCCCTAGCTAAGTTTTACCGCTGGAAACTGGTCAAACAATCACACAAAAAGGCAAAGAAGATAATTGTCCTTTCAAGAAAATAATTTTAATTACTAAAATCCATTTTTTGGGTTTTTTTTTTTTTAGTTAAAAAGGTTCCTACACTTTCATTTTTATCGGGGGGGGGGGGGGAAAAAAAAAAGGGCCCCAAATTTTATAAAAATAAAAAAATATTTTGGTTTATACCTGCATTCAGTGTTTCTTTCTGACAGTTTGATCCAGAGGGTGGCCATTGCTGACATTAGGGGGAAGGGCATTTATCAACGCGCAAATTAGGCATTATGGCACCAGCTGCCATACATAACCTGATTTCACTCCAGCTGGGGTGACCCAAGGTATTCTTTTGGCCCCAGCTTAGTTTTGACACCTTATTCTCACAATGATCAGTGTGGGGGAAAGCAGAAATGGAGGGCGCAGAAGGCTTCTGGGTGAAACCAGATGGGGGAGGTTAAGGAAGGGAGCACTCATTGAGCCCCTCTCTAGAAAGTTTTTGATAAATTTAAGTGCATGGATCTATTTTGCAGCATACGTGCATTTTGTTTTGCATTATTTACATAGTATTTAAAATCCGATGATGTCTCTCTACATTTTCCTATAATTCGAGCATCAAATTTACCATGCGTAGCCATATTTCACTGGTTCGACTATTTCACTAATTTTAATACCGGATGTGATATATGAACTACTCATTAAAAAATCGTATAGAAATGAAAATTTCTTTTTTTTGTTGTATTTTGTAAACATTTATATACTACTTGCTTTCCCATATCTAAGGTACAACAACAAAAGGAAATCAAATTATCCCTATATTCTAGAGTAAAACAAAAGAATGCATTCAAATAGAAATTTGATGCAAAATTTGATAGGATGAACTGAAAATAAAATTCGATCAAATTTTCATTCGACCAAACTTCCATCTATCAATTTTCCGTCAGCGAAATTTCTTTCAAACAAATTACCGGATACGAGTTCATACACAATTATGTGTACACGGTAGGTAAACGAATTTAACATAAACCATTATAGAAAATAGGTTCTAGATCCTCTTCCTTGCCTGTTCAGACATGTGCTGTACAAATAAATCACCAGACATTTAACCATGAAAATAATAGAAACTGTCTCTTGACCAGAACCATTTTATTGCATACAAATATGTTCTGAAAGGAAGCAAGTTTACATGGAACAAAATAAATAACAGACATCTAACATACAAGATAATCGAGCATACGTTGATCTGACATAGTCATTACACGCATAATTCTTAGGAGTTATCACATAAAAAAACATCATAAAAATTGGACTAAAACAACCGTTCTCGACATAAACTAAGCTTTAGTTCAGTCCCCAGTGTTGAGTGATACATCTGCAGCATCTCATTGGAAGAAATGTAAGAAATTTGTATTCATTTTGAGGAAATTTCTACATCATCTTTTGATCAAAGTGTTTCAGAGTTTTAAAACAAATTACGATAAATTTTTTAAAACTCATTCTAAAAAAAAATTCAAGGGAAGAAATGAAGATTAACAAAACATTTTTTTTTTTTTAAATAATATTCAATTAGAAATGTTTAGGACAGTTCAGTGGTTCTCAACCTAAAGTGTGATCTCCAGCCTCCAAACTGATGAAACATATAAGCCAGCGCTTCAACATCTAGTTTGTTTAATGAATTACAAAGAGAATTGTAGAACTTAGAAAATGGACTTGTGACATGTTACATGAACTAAAATATTAATGGAGAAATAATTTTTTGTTAAAAAAAAAAATTTGTCATAACTTAAAAGTCAAATCTTACTTTGTTATTAAATCTCTTCCTTGCACACACCCCCACCCCACCATGAACTGTCAACTAGCACCCCTAGGGGGTGCTAATAGGTTGGGAAACCTTGATTTAGGCTGATAAACTCAAAAAAACTCCCTGCATTTGCTTTGAGTGAGAAAATAAAAAAACAAGAGTGGTTTAACTTTGATTTTGATCAGAAAAAGACTATTGTATAGAAAGCCCATCTCAGGAATCAAAACTAAGCATAGAATACAAGTTTAACCTGTAATCAAGTCTAAAAATTAAATTGATTATCAGTTCCTCATTAATGGGACAGACAATAATTAATAACAACGGCAAAGAGAGAATGTATATATTCATTATTTTGGGCTGAAAAACTCAAGAAGGCTTCATAATGCATTGTTTGCAGCTTTATTCTGATCTTAGTTGAGCCTTATCTTGCCAAGCATATTTTAACCTTTTAACTTAATTTTAGTTAAAGTTAAGTTGACCCTTTTATAGATTTAATTGGAAATATGAAACCCATTGTTGACAGTGAGAGAGACTATAAGGTTGAGAACTGCACATAACTAGAAATGGACAGGAAAGACTGGTTACTACCACTTCCCTCCCTTGCCAGCCTTCTTTTTCTTCTTGTTGGCTTGGACTGGCTTCTGTTGTCTTGGTCCCTGTGGTAAGGGCATGGGAGTTGGAGTAGAGTGAGGGGAAGCTTTGCTGGCCGATGCTGAAGGGCGGGGTGAGGCTGGCTCACCTGATGCAGGCTGCTTGCTGGCATCTCTGGAAATAGAGAATAACAATTTTTTTTTTTAAACAATTCATAACTGCATTTACTTTATTTTATAATCAGGTTTTGAAAAACTCTTGTTATGACACTTGTTATGACCCACTCCAGAATCAAGGGCGAGTCATGAATCCGTTCCAGGGGATAGGAGGTACAATTAGTGACCTCAGTCTGAGATGTTAAGCAGGATTATTTTTTAAGGAATGCTAAGAAGTCATGTAAATACAGAACTTTGCATCATAAGAGTCTTGCAAATGGGGAGAAAAGTGTGCACAGGCAACAAATTTCTCTTAAGTTTAAATTAAATAAGTTTACTTTTTAAAGAATGCTAAGAAGTCACATAAATACAGAAATTTGCAAGCCATTGTTCCTGACTCCTTGCAATTTTTAAGTTGAGTTAAGAGCAAAAAATTGGTCTAGCATTTAGATAATTTTTTTTTTTAATGTGCCATTTAGAAACTTTTCAATAAATGCATCATTCTATCATGTGGAAACTTCATGGCATAATACTATTCTAAGTTAGATTTACAGTGATTGCAAAGTAATGCAGCAGTTACATTTGAAAAAAGCTATTGACAATTAAATATCCCTAAAGATTTTTAAAATAACATATTAATGTATGTTGTATTACTATGATTTCTTTTTATATTTATTTTGGAAATGATGTTGCTCTTCTTTCATTGCCTTAACATATTGTTTTATTTTGCTCATTCAAACGTGCAAAGGTATTTTGTTTGAAATATAAATATTATTTTAATAAAAAACCCTTTTCAGCTTTGTCATATATAGATTGTGTGCTAGTACTTTTAATGGTTCTTTTAAGTTGCTTTTAATTTCAGCCTGATGGAATTTAAGCAAAATATCAATTTGACCACTCTTATAAATTTAATGTTAAATGACTGTTTATTTTTAACACATTGATGATGAAGGCACTTACAATGAATCTGTGATAGCTTGAGTAGCAGCTGATGTGCCTTGAGTGCCTTTACCTGTAAGAATAATGAAACAAATGTAAGCTTTATGTGTGACTGACAGTCCTAAACCAGGAAAAATATATACATTTTACAGAGCATTTTTAGTTCCTCTGTCAATTTAATACCAATAAATAGCGTTTGTTCTGACACAGCTAAAAGGGTGGGATGAAATACATACATTTTAAAAGTGCATGCAACTGCAAAACCTGACAGTTTTAAAAAATGTATGTTTAAGAGAAAAAAATTACAAGGCACATCTGTACATATTGACACTGTAACATCTCTCTTTCCCTTCGATAAAGATAACATCAAGCAATAAAGTACAACTCACCAATTTCTTTCTTTTTGTCCTTTCGTTTGCCTCTGTAGTATGATCTCTCTTTACGGGGCAACCATCGTTCGGGGTCAAGGTCACTTCCAGGTTTGCATTTTTTAGGTAGTTTACCTTTAAAACAGATAAGGATCAATCTATTTGAATAGTACAACTTATTAACTTCAGGGATTTTTTTAAGTTTTCCTATTTACCCACCACCCTCCCAAATAGTCCTATATGGAATCACCATCCACTAAGTGCAGAGCAAGCATGGCTATTTCAATCTCTGGGGCACTCAGTCTAAGCTCGTCATGATCCAGACTTGTTATGGCTCCACCTACCTCCAAGGTATGGTGTGGTAAGCAGCATGCTTAGTATCCAAGCCCATAGGGGAAGGCAACCCAGTAAATATATGTCAAGGTATCCCAGAGCCACCAGAGCCACCTGAGGGCTGGTAACCTTAAAAATATGTCAAGGTATCCTGGCCCCTGGGAAATTTTTCTATTACTAATCAGTTTGTATTCATAATGAACTCTCAAATTAATTACCAAGACACCCCTGAATATATCAAAGGTATCCAGGGCCCTGTGGGGCTGGAAACCTTGTACAATATGTCAAGAGGAGTGGGTGGAATCTAAATAGGCAACTTAAGTCCTTCCTACAGGCTCCCTATAAATGGTAGCTTATCTCCAGACAGGGAGACTCATCACTGGTATCCAAAGGTTTCCTCAGACTTATGTCTGAAGTATTCGCTAGCTCCTAATATCATTTACATAACTTTTGTGATCACTTGTTAAATACATTTAAAACTCTTACTTTATCTAAAATGCACATTTATTTGGCACATATTCTATTAGTTCAGCTAGAACTCACCACAAAAGATTTAATTTTGTAAGCAGATTTAACATAACTCTCAAAGTGAACTCAATATTCTATAATTCCTTCAGATAAATAGTAAGAAAGATAATTAAGAAAAAAAAAAGAAATTCAAATGTACAAATAATGATATAATGACAGTGACAAACCTTTCTTTTTCTTTCTCTGCTTTTTCTTCTGCATCAGAGTATCTCCAGACTTTGTGTCCCCAGATCTGGTAGAAGAAAACATGGCCAGACGATTAGTTATAAGCATGATTCAATTTTTTATAGTCAACATGGTCTTACAGGTCTTAGTACTGTCAATACAAAAATCAACTGTACTCACGCCCCAGGTGAAGCCTCTCCTTTCAGTGGTTGTTGTTTCTTCATGTACTTAGGTCCAAGAGTACTGAATGATGCTTCCAGGGCTTCTATATCTAGCCCAGATATAATTTTAACAACAGGTGGTAGATCTTTACTTATTCTGAAAATTTAGCTAAGGAGTATCTTTTACACATTCCGGGCTTAAAATTCCATTCATCTATGAGAAAAATACATTCTTTTAACAAAAAACTATTCTAGCTCTAGAAACTTTAACAATGGACAGGATATTTAAAAAAGAATACTATTAGTGGATTTAGAGATTACTTATACATTCAATTCTTTAAGTTAAAAAATTATGATAAGCAACAAAAAAAATAAAAATGACTCTAACAAAGTAAGTTTACAAATCAGCATGGCAAAAGGATACTGTTGTGCTTTGGCAGGATCAAACTGGGCATAGGAAGAAATTAACTGGGCTAAAACAAGGGCATCTCCTGGGTTGGCTCTAAAGTTTAACAAAAAGAAGCAATATTATCACTTAAGTTTCGCAATCCTTTTGATTAACACAATTAATCACGTCTATATCATCTTTATATTTAAAAAGGTAATCATTTTTATCAAGTTCATTAAGACGGCCTTTGGTTTAAACATTTTTAAATTGAAATCTCTATAGTAATCAAACATGTATTATATTTTATTCTAAAAAGATATATTGGTCTCAATGTTTAAGGGTGTATTCTAAGCCAATAAGTAACTTACTTGCGTAAATCTTCCAACATCCTTGCTGCTTCATCAGCCTTTCCATTTTTCAACTGAAAATCTGCATTAGCTCTTGTCAAGGTCATTAAGGCAGGTGACTTTGGCTAATGAAAGAAGAAGTTTTGTAAAACAATATTAAGATTGCTTTAGCTAATAAATATGAGAAGGTTTTATTTTTGTCTCATCAAGTTCAAGAAAGGTCTCTAAACTGGTAATTATTTGTATTTATAAAGCATTTCTTTCTTTTTGAAAAAATGTAAATACTAAACTATCACTTGAAACTGAGCTGTGCCTAATAGTTTAAAACTTACATCATTTTTCTTGTACCAGTTCACAGAATCAATAAGAGCCTTTGATGCTGCATCTTTGTCCTCCTGGCTGAGGTACAGTGTGACAAGAGTGGAAACCTATCAGGATTTATCAATAATGTGTTGAAACTATAAAAGAACTCAGTTAGTTAAAGAAGAAAAGATGAAAATGTTAAAACTCATTTGCTATTTTTACAGAAGAAAATAAAGTTTATTGGATATTTTAAGCATATTCTTGGGACAGAAAAGGGCATATTATTTTTAAAGGCCATTAAAACCATGACAATAAAGAAAAAAATAACAAAACAAAATAACAGTTTAGTGCAATTCAGTACCAATATGTTATTGGAATGCTTTGAGCAAAAATGCACATTAAAAAAAATTATTAAATCTTCCTAACAAAACATAGATTTATTGACAAGACTTTTACACACTAAAATTCTCTTGTCTTTAAATCCATCAAATATACTCACTATTCCTGGCTTAAATGATTCTTGCCCTAACGCTTTGAGGGCATCACATGCCTGATATACACTGCCCAGACCCAAGTACAGTTGAGCAATGATCATATGGGCCTTGAATGCTTTCTCAGGCCGTGTCTTGATATATTCCTGCAAGATTGGTACAATATCAGAGCTAACTGTCAAGTTCTTTGAAAGGCAAAGAGTCATCAAGTCTTAATAAATAATTTTTATTATTTACTTAAGTTTAAAACTAAATCCATGAATTTCCAATCAATTCTTTGGCAAGCTTTGAAAGTATTTCATCCAATCAATATTTTATTTTAGGAAGTTTATTGCTTCTTTTCAGTAAGTATATTTATTTTATGACTGTTATGTTTATACATACACATTGGCATGAAATTTCTGCTGCATTCTTTCATTATTTTATTTAATCGTAAAATCCCCCAAAAATTTATGTTTTGAAAACAATATAAAATCATAAATTAAAAGCTTTTTTGGCAATTTTTTCAAATGAGAATTTAATAACGAAAAAAAATATTTTTAATCAATTTTAAAAAAATATTTTTGATCCTCTCATCAATTTTTTTTTATGTATTTATTTTAAAATGCTATTAATATCTACAAAATAAAAGTTGATTTTTTATTGTAGGAGAAAGCTCAACATATTAAAATGCGTGATACAAAAATTGTTCAAATCATTATTACAGATAACTTTAAAACGGTAAAACACATAAAATCACTAAATTTGATCTTTCAAAAGATGCTTATAACTTTTCCTTTGCACTTTATCGGCAAAGCAGTGGGACATGTAATTTTAGAGTAAGGAAGGGTATTTTACACAACCAAGGACTTTCTTACCTCACGTTAAATTTCCAAGTGGACTCATCCTGAGGTGCCAGACTATTTACATGCATGCAACACTATCAATATGGTCAAAGCTCTAATATTTTATGTGAATGTTATATCATAGAATCTTTAAACTATTCAGTGTTCTAAAACCTAGTCCGATGGCATTTCCTATAGGTCAGTTCTCTTTCTGCATGTCTCATTTCTAATCTTATCTCATTCATTTTTCATTTTACTTTGCTTCAGTTATTCTTGTCCAATGCATTCCTTAGTCTCGGTCAATGATATTGTGAGATTATTTCATAATTTTTCTAAAAGTGAATTTCTATCTACTTTTACATATCCAACTAGCAAAAATCTAAACTACACTAATCTTAGGGTATGTAACACGCATTAGATATTTGGAGTCCCAGTCATCTTTCTGTTGATAATTTTGACATTAATTTGGCTAATTTCCAGATTAAAAAATTAATTTAAAAAATGTCCACACTATTTGAATAATTACCTTCAGCAATGCTATAGCCTCATCATTTTTTTTGTCTCTGATGTATTGGGCAGCTCTGATCATCAGAGGTGCATCAAGGTCTGGATACTGGTCAGCTAATTTCTTGGCAAGTTGGTGACACTGTTCACTCTGGGATTATTCAAGTTATATCAAAGCATTCAGATTGTGTTTGTAATATAGTTAATAGTATGGTATGTATAACATACAAGCAAAGCTGAAATACTCTAAAATATTATTTAAAAATAAGTGCATTAAATCCATTTACCAATCAATCCATAACTAAAGCAACTAAGACTGTGTAAAATACCTGATTAGAGTACATATGAACAAGACATTGGTTGATATCAATGTGTTGACGCTGTGCAGACACTGTTTTGTGCTTCAAGTTGTCACCAGTGGCAGCCTTTATCTTGCGTTTTGAATCAAAGATGTTTTGATCCTAAGGTAAAACAGGAGAAATTAAAATGTATAAACTTTGTGACATTCAAAGTTGGATATTTCTTTGAGTAATGATCCTCTTTTACGGTGTGAAGTCATTTCTTAGACAGTTAGAGAGTTAGTATAAACAGGAATTAATTAGGTTCATGTTTTACATTTTGATTTGAAGTTAGAACGCTGTTTTCAGAACAAATATTTTTTTCACCAAATAGTAATCAATTCAGAGCTTTAACAAAATATATATATAAATAGTTTAAATTTAAAAGTTTAATCTGGAAAAAGATTTATAAGTTAAACTTAAATTGAAATGCAACTCGATATTTTAATAACAAATTTTGAGCTTAGTAAATTCAAACATGCACATATTAGTTTAAGTATTTTTAAAAATTTTATAGTACCGGTAGTTTAATTCTCTACTAATTAACAACTCTTAGCTAGTGAAGAGTAGCTTCTCTTTAGTCGCTAGAGACTGTTCAGGGGAGGTGAAATGCATGATTAAAAAACATTTTTCAAATACTGTTAAATCCAAACCAATGTTATTATTGTAAAGCCTGGTGAGCTCCCCAATTTTAAACAAAAGTATTTTAAAGCTATATTAATCATTTTACAAACCATTTTGCAGTTAAAATCATTACGATTTTCTTTAAGGGCGAGATGACTAAATTTTGGTTAAAGTGAATCAAAATATTTTTTAATATGATTTTTTAATTGACTACCAGAGGTTTACAAGTAAGCAAAATTTATTTAACAGTACTAACTCATAAAAATACACATTCTCTTGCTTTTTCATGGTTATCACAACTTAATTGTAATATTTGTTATAAAATTAATGTGCACATAAAAAATACATTCATTAACCTTTAAATAATATATAATTAAATTGTAAGATAATTTCTTCAACCACTTCCCACATAAATTTTTGAAATGAATTCCTCTGAACAATGCTAAATGTCACTTAAGGTATTGAGTTTTAAAAAAAACCAAGGCCACTATCAAGAAATTTAAAAATAAGTTTAAAGAGAATTATAGAGAAGATCAGAAAAGAGTAAGGTGATCCTGTTATTTTCAATCTAATAGAATTCTTTTCCCATCTAGTCTATATGTAGCAATAAAATAATGAAGGAAACAGTTTATGGATGTACCTTATTGATTGTTACCACATTGTTGGACACTACAGCAACAAGACCAGCATCTGATGGTTTGGTCTTCAAGACCAGGTTGTAGAGCTGGGAAGCTTGATCATTTTTACCAAGGGACTGGAAGATATAGCCCCGCTGCACCCTATAGTAAATATCCACCATTAAATTACAATTGTAACATTAGAAACATAACTATTATCATTGAAGACCCAAGTGCTAATGCTAAAAGTACATAAGTCACATTTTTGTCAAAATCAATCTAACCTGTGACCTTTTCTTATCTGGTTTGGCCAAGTGTACTGCATACATTTGGACACATTAAAATGTACCAAAGTCCCTTAATTAAAAAAGACAAAATATGAAAATAATCACATTTTATAGAGGAAAATAATATTTGAACTTGATTATCTCAAAATGTGTATTTTGAGACTTAAGTAGTTTTAGCACTAAGGTCTTCAATTACTAAATTGACTAGTTATGTATGAATGCAACCAATATTTAATTAATCCTAAAAACTATCCAAAACTTCCTTCAACCTTGATATAAAATAGAAACAAATTTGTTTAAGTCCATGTCATGTCAGAATAAATGAAATATTTTTTTAAAGTCTCATTAAATCATCTGCTGTGCTGATCGTTGGCAAAGAATTCAGAGAAAGTTAACTGGTTGGGAATACAAGAAAAGGAGTGGCTTTCATCATCAGAATACTATGCACACAATTTTACAGTGGAAACGAGTGAATGAGTCCTATGCTAGTTTGAATTCTAAGTTCTGCAATTATATGTTTGAAAAAATAAACACTAACTGGAGAAGCAGATAATAAAAAGAAAGAGATATTTTCTAAAACTGTTTATAAGCCACATGTGAAGACATCCCAGTGCAAGAATCAAGAATGAAAATAGCGAAAGAATGGCTTAGAAGATGTAACCTACTAGGAGAAAAACTGATCAGCCTCTGTGAAGAAAACAACCTTGCCACGAGAGACACTGGTGGCCCACATCGCATAACCTCACTTGGACATCACCAGATGGAATAACCCAGAGCCATATTGACCATATCATCAATGGAAAAATTGAGACTCTCTCGACAGGATGTCCAAGTGGGGCATCAAGCTAATATCATGAGTGACCAAAACCTTTTTCCAAGGTCAGCTCCAAGACTGACAGCCCAGGAAAGTGAAACCATGGAAGACCCAAAAAGACTTGGGGAAGAAAGATTTGGAAGGATGCCCGGTGTAGAAATCTGAGCCTGCAGACAGCTCCTATAGAAGCAAGCAATTAATAGATAGGTGTTCCTTCAGACACCTTACTGAGAAATTAACAGTAAATAAAATATATTTATTAATATCAACAGAAACATGTGTATTCAAAATTAAACTTTAAAGCTAAATTTCCTAACCTTTTCTGCGGTTTGCACCCTTACAATTTTATTCACTAGTCTCTCACCCCAAACAAAAGTAACGATGCATTTTAAAAAGATAAAAATAAATAAATTTGAATTCTTTTATAGAAATTACAAAGATAACTAGAATTTTATAAATAAGTGTGACTTAATTATTGTATTATTATTTAAATGTGTTTTTGGAAATTTATTTATTAAAATATTAACATTTAAGTCATAACTCAAAAACCTGCTAGGGGAGTGCAAGCACCAGAGGTTCGGAACCTGCTTTAAGAATTGATAATAAAAAAAGTGTAGTATTTCTTATAAAAATCTCTACCTGATTATAGCAAGCTCTTCATCTAATTCCTCTTCTGTTAAATCACCATCAGATTTTAAAAGTTCTGAAACAATAATGCTGCTGTTAATATGCAGGAAACAAAAAACATTTTTAAGTAAAAGTTATCTTTTCATTACTGTTCACTTAGCCTCTCATGCAAACAAAAATATTACCTTCAGCTTTATCTAGTTTCTCCAGAGCTGTCTTCAGGTCACCTTTGCCTATGTAGTAACAAGAGTTGTTGTAACAAATTTCATAGGAGCTTTCATCTATATCCGGACAGCCCTGGATGTTTGAAAAATCATAATATTTTAGACATGATACATTTTTTCATAGTAAAAATAGAATATTTCAGCATTTCCTTTTACCATCTCAACCCATTTATGCTCCACTGGAGAAAAAAATTTTAAAATAATTAAATTTGTCCACCATATTTTGCTTATTTAAGCCCATATACATAATATAAAAAATTTAAACATGTTAAAATGTTAATAATTTAGAAAATGAAATTAGTTAACCCCTTTAATTTTTAGTATCAGAAATGATTTTTAATTATAGATTAGGACTTTTATTATTTACCATATCCTTTTGATTCCACATTTGTAATGATGCTACAACAGCTGCCAAATTAGTTTCTCTTTCAGAGTCAAAGTCATCCTGTTGATAAAACATAAATTAAGTGTAAAGCAATAACCAAAACATTGTGTCCACCTGTTTGTATTTTTTAATGATTAAGTTGACCGACACCTGGTGACTTTTAAATTTATTTCTATACATTGCTTTAATATTATATAAAATAACTACCTGTATAGTATAAACAAAGTTCAGGTGAAATGATGAGTTTACAAAATATTTACAAAATAGCTGCTAACTTGATTTTTTTAAAAAATTTTCTTTAAATCTACCATTAAAATTTGCAGCCAATTACTTAAGATGGAAATAATGAAATACCAGTTGATCATTACTAAACATTACCAACAGAATAGCAAAAACTAATTAAAACCTGTGAATTCTTGATGACATCCCTATAGAGGCTGTAACATTCTTCATACTCTTCAATTCTGTAGAGCTGTATTTAGGAGAAGATATTTTAGGATGTTAATAACACTTTCCTGGCAAATGAATTATCAATTTTAGAAACTTGATTTTAAACAGATTATCTTTTTGTATTGCCTTCTTACAAATACATTCCAATAATAAAACTTACTTAACGTTTATTTATTACCTCATAAGCAGAAGCTGTCAAAGAGTAATATTTATAGTTAAAAGCTAATCTATTATTATTATCCATAAGGACTATACATGGTGATAGCGACAGTGTCTAATAGCCACTGTTTCATAATAACTGACACAGTACAGCATGTTGTATTATGGTTCTTGAAACCAGTATTTAAATATTTAAGAGACACAGCTAAATTTGTAAACTGTAGCAAATTTACCTCTTATTAACTATCAAAATGCATGAGGTTATATTGACAATAAATACTAAGTTTTCATTACTTTCAAAGAGAGGTTACATTGAAACACTAATATAGCCAACCAATGACGCCAAAAGCTTGTTATATGAGCTGTTATAAATAGGACAATAACTGATAGCAAATCTAGTCCTTGCAGCAAAAATATTATGGAAATTAGATTATGATATAATAATTTAATTATGCTTTACACACTTACAACTTGACAAAGGAGTTCTTTACTACGAGTGTTATGAGACGTAATTGATCTCAGAGTATTCAAAGCTTCATTTGTACGATTCAGGCGGTACTCACAATAGGCCTTTTCAAATTTAAGGGTTCTGAAAGGTCAGCAAACAGGTAAAGTAATAGTAATTATTTACTAATGGAGCTAAGTTATTTAAGCATATTTGATTCTATAACAATTCTAAAATGTAAATGGATTAGACCTATAAGAAACTCTTTTTTTTTTTTCTGGTCTGCATGTCAGATTATACATACCCTGTATGTGTTTTATCTTTATTTAATGCTGTCAGGGCCTCATCAAAACGATCCAAAAGAAGCAGACTAACAATTTTACAGTTGAAAGCTTTAAACTCTTCAGGATTTTGTTGAAGAACTGAACAATAAAATAAAATGTTTTACAGTAATAGCAACAAATTGGTAATGACTACTGCAGTTACTCCTTCTAAAGCCTTTTCATTCATAGGCCGAGGCCCACTCCTTCCACCAATTTTGAATGGGACAAGCATAAAATAAGTAGATAACCTGCTCATAAGCGTACTCCATAAAATTGCTGCATAAAATCAAAATGTGTAAAACACCACATTAAATCTTTTATTTCTTTTTACTTAGGGTGCTGGGTGGCCGAGCAGTCTAAACTGACTCAAACCAATAAGTGGTCTGGAGTTCAATCCTTATCAAATCCACCATCCCAAGCAACCCGGGTGGATGGGACTTGCTAGCCTTGGATGGCAACTCATCTAAGAGAATTCAAACTCTGAATTCAAACCAGGAGCCAAAATATCAATAAAATGATCGTGGGCCCTCAAATATGGAAAAAAAGTGATAAAAAAACATCAAGAAGAAAAACCAATTAAAGTAACAAATTTATTATTCAAATCAATGCAACTGGAATGTTTTTTTAAATCTATAGCTCACATGTAGTGTCATAGCCTGTGTGTTGACCTAGTTTTTGTTCACAACCAGCCATGGCATTCAACCATACCTCCTACTTTGTTTCCATATTGACGTCACAAATTAAATTTGTAAACTTCTAACATTACCAACTTTTTTTAGAAAAACATTGTTTACGTTCAAATTTGCTCAAAGGAATGCTAACAGGTGATGAAATATCTAGAATGTCTTTGGAGAGTTCTAACCCCCTCCTTAAAATAAGCCAGTAGCTTTCCAAGCCAGAAGAGATCTTTGCTAAATTTCCTAGACTTAATACACTTATAGGAGCCTTAAAAGATTATACTCTTTGTGTGTGTGTTTTAATTTGTATCTTTCAAGGATTATACTTTGTCAGTTTTTATTTCTGTGCATTTGATTTTGTATTTTTATATAAATTGAATAATTGTTTATATCACCAGCTTTGGAAGTTTTTCTTTGCATACTGATTTTCAAGTCAATGTTATGTATCGTTCATCTAACAAGCCAAATCTTAAAACGGCTTAAATTTGAAAAACCCTATAATGGTACGTACTAATAGAAACAAATGTCTCTCTTTAAACACATTGCTCTGTGAAAATTTGCATACATGTAGATCAATATATACAGATACCCGAGGGAAATAATAAAAATATATAATATATATTTAACTTCGACTTAATCTTAATGATGAAAGTTAAATGATTGTAAATGAAAGAGAAATCGATTGAAATTAAGCCAAGGTGTCCTCCAAAATGAAATTATGGAAATATAAATTATTTGTGGGACACAATGATTATTTTATAAATAAAATAGCACTATCGTTAAAAAAAAATTAAAAAATTAATATTTCCAGCGCAGACACCCATTTCCCATACAAAATTTTGGTCTATTTACGCAATCCGTGCCACTTTGAGATTCTGCGTAGGATTCTATCCCCCTCAGTTTATTTTTGAATTGCAATTAATAGTTAAGTATTCTCTTTTTTTACATTAATACACCAAACATGTTTACCCTCAAATTCTTAAAATTGTACTGTACAATCACAAAATTGTTCAATACATTATCTTAATAGTAAAAAAATAAACATGCAGTATATGTAATGTACACACCTCAAAATTGTCCATTGTACACCAAAATCGTAAGGTTAAACAGGTCAGATACACCGATGGGATGTTTCATATTGATGGTTTTTATCAAATTAATATTTAATAGCAAGGTTTATTATAATATTTAAAAAACAAGCCTATTTTTTTTATGGTCTGATCATTTTCACAAAGTCTCGAATCCGATTTATTTTTGTAGCACTCCTTTGAAGAATATCGGTATGACCCTAGTTCATATTACCGGTATAATAATTTTAAGGATTTTGACATTTTAAAAATAAAAATTTATTACCTTATTTTGTAATATATTATTATTAGATCAACATTTTGCATTACATTTATCATTTAAATTTAGACATGGAAATATCTGTGGAACTTGTTATACGCTGTAAAATGCTTTAAGTTTCATCATAAATTTCTACATTGATTTAAAAGTATAATCAAATTTTATTGGAAATCCAAATGTAGGCACTTCGGTAAGGCAAGGTAGACTACTTCGAAATTCGTATGGGAAACGGCGCAGAAGAATAAGAGTTTTTGATTTTTTGATGTTGGTGCTTTTTCATTGAAGAAAGGACTATTTTGTCAAAAAATGTTGGTATCCATCAACACGTTTACAGTGGTCTTATATAGGGGTGTGCCGGAGTCCGGTCCGGAATCCGGTTCCGCCGGATTTTGCACTATCTGGTGAAATCCGGTTCCGCCGGATTTACATGTATCCGGAACAACCGGATTCCGGAATATACCGGATTTCGGAATTTGCCAGATTTTGTGACTTACCGGATCATAATCTGAAATAAAAGTAATTCTCTTTCCTGAATTCCACACGATCACGATACATTAATCGATTGTTTCGAGCGTTGAGCTTGTTTAATGTTTAATATTCCGTACATACCAGAGGCTAGAGTCAGCACCGCTAATAGTGGCCAATAGTGTAGGGACTTTGATAAGAAAATTTAAACTTTTTGTAAAAATAAACCAATGGCATAGTTGAAAAGATGTAATTTTTTAAAGAATTATAACACCAAAATCATATTTTTAGCTGTTGTAGTTTTAAAGTTATGAATTTTTAAAGTACGACTTGGTTTGTCATTTTTTAACATGGACTGCATCTCCACATTCTGTGATCTCATTCCGCCAATCCCGTCATGCGCAATGACTATATAGTTTATATAAGGCAACGCATTCCCTGCCTTATCACTAAAATACTGTTTAGACTTAGTTTAAACTTTCAACTTTGGCACATGAATAATTAATTAAAGCTTTCCCTGACCAATGGTTTAATAGTTTTTGCACACGGCAAACTCTTATGAATGAAACTCTGAGGTAGTACTACGATACAGTTATGCAAGTGGCTGTGAATGGTTGCCAATGACAACGTGTTGCACACGGTAAATTCTGATCATTTATAATATGGATTCTACCGGGTTGTTAAAGCTCAAATTAAAACATTCCAGTTTAAATGTCTTTAAATGCATTCTGAAACACAAGTTATCAATTATTTTGATGTAAATAGTGATAATAAATTAATATTTCCTAAGTATCGTCAACTTCCGCCATTAAAAAGGGGGGCGTGGCCAACCCCATGGCGAAATTAGGTTGAGCGAGCTGCATAACCTGCTGCGAACGCGTAGAAACATGGCGTCTCTCGTAAGACACTTATCCAAATGGAACGGAACTCAAATATATATCGAAAGTACTAATTTAATAATAAATAGACACACACATCGGAAAATTAAAAACTCGGATTTTTTGGCGCCGATTGCGAATTCCCATACACAAAAAGTAGTAGTCCACCTTGACTTACCGAAGTATCTACCAATAGTACCAAAATCCGGAATCCGGGAGAAACCGGAATCCGGATTATTCCGGAATCCGGATCCGGCGGATTTCGCATAAGAAAATCCGGATCCGGCACACCCCTAGTCTTATATAGCCCGGTACCAAGCCGCTTGGCTCACTGCGCTGCACATAATCATGATATTAAAAAATAACTATTAATTTTATTTTAAAAAACAGCTGCATAATAAAAAAACAAATGAATATTCACCCCACCGACCCCAGAACTTTTACATGTCAAGCCATGGACGGCACCCAGCAGCATTGTTTATCGGTCAAAGGGGGGAAGAAGTCAGAAAAGTAGAGTTTAAAGAGATGTGTTTTGAGTAGTGCAGTTTTGAAGGCAAGGGTGGTATATTGCGAATGTGTAGTGGGAGAGAATTCCATTGTTTTTGGGCACAGAAAGAGAAAGCTCGTTCACCATATGTTAAAGTGCGAATAGTGGTGATGCGTGTCCGGATCCATTTTGACTAAGAAAGTGTCTATTGGTAGTTTACTACCTATAGCTTCTGGTTAGGGCAGGAAGCTATTTGTAGTAAACTACCAATAGCTTCTAGAGAGCTATTGGTAGTCCAGCCAATCAAATCAAACCAAAATCTGAGCTTTAAAAATCCGATTCCAATGAGGCAGGCGAAGTATTACTCCATGCATTTATTACTAGTTTGTACTAGTGACAACACCTCGGTACTAATTATGCAGAATCAATGTTTTAAACTGCACGTAATTTTTATGAACACATAAGCAGTGATACATAAATAAACTAAAATATATAAAAAGAAAGAAAATAAGTGTATTATGGCTTGAAAATCCGATTGGAGTGAATTTATGAGACTAACAATAAATTTTGTTGGCATATAGATAATGTATGGGTTATTTTTTGGGGGCAACATAGAGTGATTACAGTCTTGTAATCAAAAATAAATTGTGACTACTAATAATTTAATAATTATTGAGCACTACATCAATCTATCACCATTGGTAGCTTTTTTTTTAGTAAACTACCACTACTATTGGTAGTGGAGTACCAATAGCTCCCTAGAAGCTGTTGGTAGTTTACTACGAATAGCCACGGCCACAGCCTTTGACTAAACTAACTAAATGCTATTCGAATGTCATTTTGTGACATTTGACTTGTGGTAGTTTATTTTAGTTAAACTGAAGAATTAAGTTTAAAAACATATAGTCCATTCAATTATCTTTCATTTGATACCAAATTTTATCTTACAAACCCAACAATAATATTTTAAACTTTTTAATCCCAACCTCTCACTTCTGGTTGCCCGGTCCGAATAAATAGACACTTTGTTACTTTGTTTATTTTTTTTTCCCTTTATCTTGTCTTAGAGTTACAGAAGTGGGTAATCCCATAAGGGAATGTTAGACTTAGAAGTTAGATTAGAGATGGTCAGTTGGATTACACTTATCCTTGCAAGTTAAAGAAATAGTATTCCTAGGTCATAGTCTAGTCCTAGCAGTCCCCCCGGCCCTAGCATATGGACATGGATAAAAACGATAAAATTAAAAATGTCATACTTTAATTTTACTTTAAACTTCAAGGTATACTATGCACAAAATATTTCGAAACAATTATGTTCTTAGCATCAGATATATTAATACTTACTTTTATTTGCTATTCTTATAGCTTTTTCGTGTTCTTGCTTTTGCAAACAACGATTTAATTCTGCATATAAGTTTGGAGCGGCAGCTCCCGGCTGCGCCATGTTGATGATGAACTGCTTTGCTGCAAAACAATATTTTTTAATTAGCAGTAGAGAACAATGTCCGGCTATTGAAATTCTAAAATTTGGTACATTATATTATTGTCTCATTTCTCGAGGACAAATTTTATCTTATTTTTTTAAATTTATGTATACATAGCCTGGTTGGTTGGGGGGGGGGGAGGGTAGATTCGTCCTTGGAGGCACTTTATTCTTCATAAAGGAGTGGGCGGAATTTTTGGCGCAAAACAAGCAAGCCATAACTTATTTTACTATTACTACTCATAAGTCATAAGTCATAATTATGAGATATTGGAATTTTAATTCAATTGGCTGAATTCTAAAAACTGTATTTAGTATTTTATTCTGAGCTTGTTAAATTGAATGTTATAGCCAGTGTGTTGACCTAGGTTTTGTTCACCAACAGCCGTGGCATTCAACGCACACACACTTTTTTTTTTCATATTGATGCAGCACTCTACCATCATTCACCCCTCCTTTGATTGGGGTAATGTTGTTCTAATTGGTTCCAAAGAATGGTATCGAGGGATGCAATTTCTAGAATTTCTGTTCTGGGTGGTTCTAAGTCCCTCTCTATTAATAAGCTGGCAGCTTTCCAAGCCGGGTGAGATTGGGGTAGATTAAGATTTCATAGACGCGAAACTTACAAGACTTAATAGGTGCCTTACTGTACAAGATTTTACTTTGTGTGTGTCTGTGTGTGTTTGTGTGTGTGTGTGCGTTAATATTTGTATCCTTCGGGGATTGTACTTTTTCACTTGCTGTAAGTTAATATAGTTTATTATATTGCTGTATACTTAACTGTGTATTTTTAAATAAATGTATTTCTATACTTTATTGTTAATATCACTAGCGTTGGTAATCGATTTTTTCTTTGAATACTGGATATCAGTCCTTAGTTATGAATCGTTACTCTAACTAGCCAAATCTTGAAACAGATTAAATTTGCAAAGCCGTATTACGGTGCGTAACAAATTGTTGGTTTGTCCGGTGATTTGTATCCACCTTTTGTTAGTGCCACAAATAAATTGTTTTCACTGTACCATTTAACGATAACAATTATAGTAGTGTGATGTGGTGGCTAACGGAAGTTGAAGTGGAGTATGATGTGGTGTGGCGCACTGTTAAAACCCTGCTCGCAACGTCAAAAACTGTAGCAAAGTGGGTGTGGCGAGTTAATAAACAAGGCTGGCAGTTTTAGTAATATACAATAATATAATTATAATATATAATTTTTTTTTTAAAGATACTTTACATCAGGGGTCTCAAAATCGCGGCCCGCGGGCCATTAGCGGCCCGCCACATGACAGCAAACTTTAGTGTGATGGGGCCCGCGAGTTTTCCCCATTCTCATATCTATAATGTCACTCTCCGCGACGGTTTCAGTCTAATCTCACCGACTAGTATAATTCTGATTTTATTATATTTGGACGTTGATTATAATGGTAAAAACCGTTTCAAAACCGGACTAAAAGTGTTTATTTGTGTATCATTTTATGAGACAAACATGGCGGCCAAAGTGTGGTTTTGAGAGAAGTTTTAAATGTCAGTAAGTTGGTAATGCACAACCATAAATGTGTAAATCGTAGCAATATGACACAGTATCAAAGAATACCTATTAAAATTGCCTCTACTGTTAACGAGTTAAGGAAATTCCAAGCATGTCAGCTTGGTTCCATTTCAAAATAGGGTTAATCAAAAAGACCTTTTCTACGATAAAAATTCATTCTCCCTACAATAGCATCTTGCTTCACAATAATAATTCATAAATAATGCCTGCTCCTGCCTACTGTTTGAACACATTTTAGCATTTTAAGCCTTCACGAAGAAGAAGGAGGTGGTTTTTCCTGTACTAAGTGATCCCAAATGGCTCATGAACTTGGCTTTTCTTGTTGACATTACACATGAGCTGAATGTACTCAACAAGAAGTTACAATACTTGTCAGTGTTGCCTATGACAATGTCAGGGCATTCGGCACAAAAATTGTGTTATAGTTCTTAGAGGAACTTCTGCCATTTCCCAACATGAAAAGTAGCCTACTCATGGAGTCGGGCACACCATTCAGTAGTGAGTATATTGATGGCATTGTAAAGCCACAGGAAGAATTTGATCACATGTTTTTAGTCTTTAAAACACAAAGAGCCACTTTTGAACCTTCTGCTGATCCTTTCTCGTATATAGTGGAAGATATGCCCCACCTCCCACCACACCCCCACTTGCGCTTCAAATGGAGCTGATTAATATTCAGTGCAAAATATGCTAAGTTTAACAGAAATGTTTAACATCACTATCAATTTCTGGCTTTATATGTATGATAAAAATATATGTAACATAAATTTCACACAAGTTCTACACCCCCCCCCCACCACAGTGTCACTATAGTCAATCTTTTTTGGATCCCATCGGGAGTGTGACGTACTATATGGATGGCCCCTTAAGTTTGTTTACTTCTGATAATCTGTAAGACATTTGTTATCTACTGTTTATTGCTAGTATATATGTTACAGGCAGATGTGCAATTCAGGCATTCTTTAGAATGCCTAGACAAAGTGTATAATGGCTTATATATTTCACACTTTGACTATAAATGTCAGGTATTTTATGCTTAGGCATTCTATAGAATTATGCCTGCCAGGACTTAGGAAAATTATATAAGCTGTATTAATAAACCTGTTCTTGTGCCCCAACTACATGTATACACATAGTGACCAGCGTGTTGTTGCCATCATTTGACCATCGTGTTGTTGCCACCATTATACCATCGTGTTGTTGCCACCAGTTTACTGGACCTTGACAACACAACAGTCCACTGGCCTGGGCAACATAAAAGACTACTGGATCTGGGCAACACAACAATCTACTGGACCTGGACAACATAACAGTCTAGTGGAACTGGACAGCACAACAGACTACTGGACCTGGACATCACAACAGTCTACTGGACCTGGACATCACAACAGTCTACTGGACCTGGACATCACAACAGTCTACTGGACCTGGACATCACAACAGTCTACTGGACCTGGACAACATAACAGTCTACTGGACCTGGACAACACAGTCTGTTGGATCTATACAACACAAGTCTACTGGACCTGGATTAGTTAAAAGCATGAATAACACAAAATGTCAAAATAAAAGTGTTTTCGTGTTTAAAAAAAAAATAAAAGCATTGTGTTAACAATGTATTTCTAATAAAGACTGTTAGACATATGGCAGACGTCTGATAGACCTTTTTAATCCAAAATGTTTTGTCCCCTGCTGTTTATTTTTTGTTTCTAAAAACTCCAATCCCTTTCAAGTTATTATTTACTTTCCTTAAATACAGTCACGCATTCTATCTATAGAATGCCTAGGCAATGTGTACAATGTCTTATATATTTCACAATTTGACTATAATCATTCCGCTTTTCCCATTTCTGGTTGCCATACTCTCAAAACAAAGTATGAAGCATAAACAATACAAATATTGTAAAAATAGATTCAGCAGTTTAATATTTGTAAAAAAATTTGAAGAACATTTTTTTAAAAACAAGTTTTGTAAATAAAAGTATCCTTTAAATGGAACAAATATTGTAAATATGTATAATTATGTTAGGGGTTGTTCGCAAATTACGTCACGCTCGGGGGGAGATAAAAAAATTTGTGACGTCAAGAATTTTTTTTTTTAATCTAAAATTTTCTAATTTTGAAAAATCTTTATTCAATTAATTTAAAAACATTAATTTGTTGAGGTCGATATTGCCTCAGATATTATAGGTACCATGAACCTCAGTCGCGCACACCTTCTCCGCAAATCGAAAAATGACGCAAAAACTGTTGTGGTCATTTTACATTTGGCTAGTGGATGTCTTCGTTGATTTGCGTCACAGTTTTCTAATAATACTACATCTTAATCCATTATGGGAAAATGTTAAAGAATAAAATAAAATCTTAGTTTAGTTATGCAAATTTTATGTATGTTTTAATTATTTTTAGGTTTGACACGACACGGGGGTGTGTGTGTGTATGTGTCTAAAAAGGTTAGCGTGATGTAATTTGCGAGCTAGCCCTTAAGAGCTGCTGTAGAATAAATTTACTTCAGAGAGAATTGTAAAACAAAAATAGAAAAATTATGAATTTGTATACCAATATCAGTAAAATATGATGCACGTATCAAAAGGAATCTCAACAAAAAAAATAAGATACACAAATTCCAAACAAATATTGCAAATATACAATCTTGGATATAGTTAGTGGGTACATAAATTATTTCAGAAAAAAAAAAAGCTTTAACAAAAAAGTATTGATCTTTTACAAGCCCAAATATGTACATTAAACACTCCAGTAAATGTTTGTCTTTGTAAAAATATTTTTGTATGTATTGAAAATGAATATGTAAAATGTAACTTAAAAAATTATTTTCATTTATTTGGATCAATAATAAAATATTGATTTTAACTTTCTTATTATACATTAACTAATGTTATATTTTATGACTTCTATCAACTTATAGAAGCATATGAGAAAATTAGTTTGCATATGGGTGAGTTCTGTATAGTAATTAAAACAAAATGGAATGCATTGCCAAATGTTTTCCTGGAAACGAAACTCTTCTTGTTTTTAAAGAAAACTATTTATCAACTATGACACCTGGTGCTTGTTAAGACTATCATAATTTGGAGGTGCTTGTACAAAGCCACCTGGTGCTTGTGGAGGGTAGCCACCTGAAGCTTGTGGGGGGTAGCCACCTGGTACTTGTGGGGGGTAGCCACCTGGACCTTGTGGGGGGTAGCCACCTGGACCTTGCGGGTAAGCAGCAGCAGGATATCCCTGAGGATATTGTGGATATGCTCCATATGGCTGGGGATTGTACCCGGGTTGGTAACCCCCAGTGGCAAACACACCAGCTTGTGAGGTTGAAGTATCTACAGAAGAAAGAATTCATAAAAGTAGCAATGTATGTATTGAGCGTCCGATTATCACATTTAATCAGGCCCATTAAGACGCTTTTTTTTTCTTCGAAAAACCAGTTATCAGTTTTAGGAATTCAGTACTTAACCAGTTATCAGTTTTTACAATGAATTCGTTACTTATCAGCAAGGTAAGATCCCAACTCCGTCCCAATGCTAGATTTTGATACCGGTAACACAGTTTAGAACCATCACATGACCCCCATAAAGTGTGTTATAGTTATTTAATGACCAAAATCATATGCTGGACAGCGTATATTTATTTTCAGTGACCAGACTGTCAGAATGAGATATGCAAAATTGTTTATTGCTATCTATAGAAGCATGGCCTACTTTGAGCTACAACAATGGCAGGCTGGGCTGCTTGATTGCGGACTATTACACCAGCATAGCGTCGTCTTCGACAACAGATGATAACCACGACAATGATGACAACCAGGGCACCACCTCCAACACAAAGTCCCACAATCAATCCAATGCTGAAATATCAAATGATGTGAAAATGTAAAATTTTAAATCAATTTGTAATATCGAAAGTTAAGTGGTAAATTGAAAAAATGTCATTTAAATAAATGATACAATACTTATGCAGCTTAGAACAGTTTGTCAAAATTAGATTGTTAAAATTAAATTTAGATTAATTTTGTCAAATTAAATTTAGATTAATTTTGAGGGAGAAGGTCAGTATATGAGGATTTAAAATAAAACTGGTAAAATAAAATGTGACAAGTTCAAGCTGGGTTGAGGCCAAGGTGGGCTGAAAACAAGCTAGGTCTAGAATTAAAATGTAGAATCTTTTATTGTGAGGAATGCTTTCTCTTATATTAAAAAATATGAATAATTAGTCTAATTTCTGACTTTTGTTATAGAAAATTTTAAGAAGGAGCTCATGCCAAAAATGACCATCACCACTACTCTGATAAATAACAGTAATTTTTTAAAAGCAGAAACGCTAGTCAATGAATTAAAGAATTAAAAACAATGAATTGAAATAACTGAAGCAAAAGCATAAGTATGGAAAATATGAGAGAAGTTTCATATGTGCACTTACTTGGATGAACAGCACAGACTTCTGTTATAACTACAACATCCGTACGGACAATAATTGCTATTGAAAGGATATGAAGTGTCAATGCAGTAATCACCCACGGTAACTAGAAAGAAATTTGTAAAAATATTTATTGTCATAATTCACAAATAAACAGAAAGCAGTTGGCCACATATATCCTCCCAACCCAAATATGCAACCTAGATTAGTGGCTATCCATCCCATTAATGATGTCACATATCAGGAAAAAGGGGGGGGGGGTGTTCACATTTTTGTGTAAAAGGTCTTACAAGTGTCTATTTTATTCTGAATGGGGAGGAGGGGGGAGGAGGGGGGGGGGGGCATTGGCTAAAATATTATAACACCATTACATTAATGATGTCACATATCAGGAAAAAGGGGGGGGGGGTGTTCACATTTTTGTGTAAAAGGTCTTACAAGTGTCTATTTTATTCTGAATGGGGAGGAGGGGGGAGGAGGAGGGGGGGAGCATTGGCTAAAATATTATCACACCATTTGTGGATGGCCCATGAGCACCTTAGTGAAGAGATCTTTCTTACTGCTCTCCGTGGTACAACATTTTAGCTAAGTTTTTAAAAAAGATATATTTTTTACGCTTTGTTTGTACTTTATGCTAAAGAAGGCTTCTTGCCAACATGTTTGTTTTTTAACTTTTGTTGAATCTTTTTCCCCTAGGTTTTTCCCAACCTTATTTTAGTAATTTCCATTTAGGCATATTAAGTATATTATTTACTTCTTATGAATATTTACTGAATCTTCAATATCCCTTATTTCATGCAAATGAAGTTTCTTGAAACTAAAATTTATGAAAAAGTTGATTGAGATCAAATTATCTTGAAACAAAATTGAAGCATTTATGTTCATGTTCTGTGAACCAGATAATACAGCAAAGAGTACTCAAAGGGGAAAAAAATTGATGGCTTGGAAAATCATAGTTAGATTATGCAAATATCTCAAATACAGGGAGCCCAAGCTACATACTCCAAATTTGAACTGGCCAATTCAATCCCTTGCTTGATCTGCCCCTGCATAGCATGGCATTGCCATAATTAAAAGTGATAATTTTAAATAGCCTAGTCTACTAAAATACATGTCAATGTATATGTCATATGTCTACCTATTAATCTAAAAGTCAATAACATCTGCATAGGCCTAAATATATATTAACCTTCACAGGGGGAGGCGTGGGGGGGGGGGGCGGTCCGTCACAATAAGAGCAGGTGTGTTGTATCATATGCATAGCGCTAATGAGTGACTGGTTAAATAAGCTTATTTTATTTTAATATTGCACATTATTTTATTTTTTAAGTCAATAACATCTGCATAGGCCTAAATATATATTAACCTTCACAGGGGGAGGCGTGGGGGGGGGGCGGTCCGTCACAATAAGAGCAGGTGTGTTGTATCATATGCATAGCGCTAATGAGTGACTGGTTAAATAAGCTTATTTTATTTTAATATTGCACAATATTTTATTTTTTAAATAATATAATCAACAAACAATATAAAATGGACAAATAAGTGGAAGAAAAAAAACACACATTTATTTTAGTATTATAGAAATTAATATTTTATTTGTCATTTAATAATGAGAACATAATTTTTTTTAAATAATTGAAATAAAGATAACACATTCATAAAAGCAAAGACTTTACATGAATATAAATTTTGAAGTTTTCAAATCGACTTATTACATCTTTGAATAAGTTGAGGCAGCACTAATTCAATGGATAATTTCTTTAAAAACACTTTTCTTTTAACAATATTTTGATAATTTCCAAAATAAATAAATTGGGTGTCACTCATGTTTATCATGTAAAAGATTTGACAATTGGACAACGGTTTACATTTCTCCCTATGTTGTATGATTGGTATCGCATCTTTCTTGGTGAAATATTATGTTTTGATGCCTTCAAAATATTGATTTGTAAAGTACAAAATGATATTTAGAGTATCATCACTGAACAGGCAACTCCAACATTTTCAAGAGGGATTCGTGCCATTTTTGCAGGGCCTATAACTCCTGGAAGTTTGAGAATTAAATAACTACTTCTCAAATGCACTCTATTTGAAGGTTAATTCTTGTTTCCTTTTATTTCGATGTGTTTTGAAATTTAAAAAATCTCATTGACAATAGTATCTCCTACATCCTAATTATCATCCTATTTTTCCTGTGAATCTTCCTGCAGAATTTCAACTGCTTCTTGGCTTTCTGTGTCAATCTCATCTTCAAAAGTATTATTTGAATGTCCTCTTTTTCCTTGAGATTTGCAAGATCAAAATTTTCCTACCACCCTCTCTGTTAGACGGTAGAAGTAACCTGAAATGAAATATAAGGATCAGCATAAAAATTTTGTGATGCAATGTATCAATTTATGCATTTACCATTTGAAAACACACAGACATTAGTTAAAAATAAGATAATATATAGCAGTATTCAGTATGTATACAAAGATGAAAAAAGTAACTTACCAGAGCAAGAAAATAATGCAATTGTCGAACTTCAAAAAAAAAAAAAAAAAAAAAAAAAAAAAAATAAAAAAAAAAAAAAAAAAAAAAAAAAAAAAAAAAAAAAAAAAAAAAAAAAAGAAAATACAAAAAAAAAAAAAAAAATAAAATTGGAAAAATAAAAAAAAAAAAAAAAAAAAAAAAAAACCACTGCAAAGTCATGATGTATCAATTAGAACAAAACAGCTGCACTCTGAAAGCATATTCTGCACACTAAAAGAGAAAAGATGCAGTTCCCTTAGCAAGCTAACAATAGCATTCAGCTATCAAATTCCAGTTTTGATTGGAACAAAACAAAAATCTGATTAATAAAAAAGTAAGAAAGCAATTTATTTCGTACAGATATTATTGAAGTTGGAAGATGCTGGCTAGACTGACACTTACTGTATTTTCGCGTAAACAAAGTTTTACGGACCCCACTCCCAGGGTGCATCTTATATAGGCTGTGACTTATGTAAAATATTTTTTACACAAATCGTTAAAACCTGTGTCTTATATATGGGTGCATCTTATAATTAGGTGTGTCTTATATGGGTGAAAATACAGTAAGTACTTTTTAAATCAAATTGATCTCTCATTTATATATACCGGTAACAAAAGACTATTCCCATGTTTATATATGCTAACCACATACATCGGGCCTCTATTGGTCTATGTACTGAAGACTTTACTTAGCAGATCAATGAACCCGCCTTTACATCTGGCGTTTATTGTTTCTAGAATCTAGATACCAGTTACTCATCCCATCGGCTATTCGCCCGGCGGCAGATAAGAATAAACAATAATTGTTGTGGTCCTGTCTCAGACAATCCTTTGATCTACAGGTCAACTAAAAATGGTAATGAAACATTGTTTACATCCGATGGGTGATGAAACATCGGAAAATTTTCATTTATGATAAAGGAAAGGAAACCACTGGATATAAATTACTCAGTGCTGCAGATGGCTAGGCCATGTGCCTCATATGTAACTTTTGTTTACACAAATCATTAAATCTGCATTTTCTATATGGGTGCGTCCTAAAATATTTTTACACAAATCGCAAAAACCTGCGTCTTATATACGGGGGCATCTTATAATTAGGTGCATCTTATATGCTCAAAAATAAATATGGTATACGTTATTTCTTTGTGCATAGAAGTTGGTTCATTAAGTATATTTATTATATTTATATTTATCTTTTTATTGTACTACCGTAATATTAAGAATTTTAAATGCCCAGCATTTAGTTCTAGTGTTTTCTCATTCATATTTTCCGCTTTCATTGATGTCATGTTTTAATCTTTTCAAAACCAATAGAATAATTGTACACAAAACAGGTATGGAAGGCTAAAGATAGATCTAGGTTTGTTGAGCTGGTTGCCAGCATAAATAAAGCAATAGATATAAAATACTGTTAGGATTTTTTTATTACAACCGGTATTTGAAAATTTTTAAAAAAACATTAATTTATTCTATAAATTAAATTTTTTAAAATAACTTATTTCATTGTTTTGGTAATGATCGGCGGGCCACTTGCTGGGCCTCTTATGGTTGAATGTGGCCTGTGGACTGCTAGTTGACAATAATGCCCTCCCCAAAATGCTCCCCCCCCCTCCCAGCCCGAAAATTCCCCTATCAGGCTGTAAAGCGGCCCGTTGGAGATCTCCTCTTGCCAGGACAGCCCCCACCCATAACTTCTCTCAACTTTACAGAGGCCATCTCAGGTTAAGGACATCTGGTCAGTTGATGATTTTGCTTTCTCAACATCAGCAGTCAACTTTCCCCAGGTGTTAGGATGTGTATTTGCATCCTAATATATCCCCCTGCCCATCAAGAGGAAGCATCGGATGTCCTTTAATAGGTATTTTATAGTGGGTTTCTACCTCGCTAATACTAATAGTTCAAGAAGTAGCTGGGACGAAACAGTTGCCTATGAACAGTCTACTCAATTTACTGTAGTATAGAATCATTGGCATGGATATTCGGCTGCCACTACCCACCTCATGCCTTGTACCTTACCCATTACCGTGTGTCTATCGGATCGTTATTTCAACTGCTCATATATCATATATTATATGTCAACATCTGGTAGTAGCTAAGTAGCACTGTAGTTGCTATATTTTTTTTTACCATGCATGCCCTTTGTCTGCCCATGCAGGCTCATGCAACGGTGGTTATGTTCCCCAGTAGCATAAGGGGGGTTCGGTGCTAGCATTTCTTTCTTGATTCTTTAGTGAATTTAGTCAGCATGCCACTACATCACTACAGTAGCCTACAGTACAGTTACTGTTACAGACAAATGGATTAGAGTAGAGTTAGAGTCTTTAATCTTTGGAAAGTTAAGAACTAATAAGCAGATTGCTGTCATCTCTCAGCGACGGGTGAAAAACACAAACGTTTCGCTTGTTTCGATCTGATTGACCGTGCCCACTAGTGGCCAGAATGTTAAATAATAATAATTAATAAAATATTTGTTTACAGTCGAGTCTGTTATTACTGTTAAAAGTGAAAGTTAAGCTTAAGGCACTTAAAGCCTAGGCCTAAGCTATTAAAAAATAAATAATAATAATAAAGATCATAGCATAACTAAACAACCGTAAAGAATAACAAATTTGACTGACTTGATACCAAGGAACACAGTATCAACAGGATAGGTCCTACTCGACTATTAACGATGGCAGCCATTCTTCTTCTGCCCATTCTTTTGTTTTCACTCGATACTGAAACTGAATCATTTACTTCCTGGATCCTGTTTCAAGTTAAGGATGTCTCGTTGACTTATTTTTATTATTATTATTTTATAGCAAGGTTTGTCTCCCCCCCCCCCCCACACACTTTTTTTCCAAAACACCTCCCACCCCCCCCTGAATTTTAGTTTCA